TTTCTTTCTTTCTTTCTTTTCCTTCCTTCCTTCCTTCCTTCCTTCCTTCCTTCCTTCCTTCAACTTCTTTTATTTTAATTTTTTGGAAATTTTATAAAATTTATAAAGTAAATAAATAAAAATATATTGTGTCCCTAAATCTAGATTGGAATTGAACTACTGATCAAGGGAAGGATTAATAATCTTCCTCCTACATTACATTCCTCACAGAACTACTCTTGAACTTTGATAGGAATTCCAACAGCTTCTTCCTCCTGGAGCAACCATAGCTTTAATCTTTGTGATGGAAACAATCTCATCAGGAATCAATTGCAAAAATGCCTAAAAACTAATTTAATTTTGGCCTGTAACAATTCTAGTGACTTATCTGATTCCCAGAAATAACTTTACAATATGTCAAACATGTTTAGTTACATGATTTTGAGAAACAGAGCAGCATACGTCCAGATACATGTTCCATTAGGGATTAAAAAAAATTCCATCATAGATTCTGCTGAAAGTGAATATGGGTGACCTGCTCCAGAAGTTCCATGTCAAGATGAATGACAGCAGGAATGAAGTCCCACTAACGTTCAGTCTACTCCAGAAAAGGAGTTACATTTACTTTCTAAAATGCATGAGGCAGCTGGAGCAATTTTTCCTACTTTTCTGAACCACTGAAAATCCTAGCACACTTAAAACAATACTAGACCCTCTGCAGAGAGGCTTCTTCCCCAGCACTTCCTGGACTGGCTATGGAACGATGAGATATTGCAGCCACATGATCAGTCTATGAAGCATCAGAGGAAACAGCCTCTACAAAAGCCCTAGAACTGTTGCAAGCATACCAGGCTATCTAAAGCTTGACAAAACTGAAACTAAATACAGTTCCACTGCATACATTTTTTAAAATTAAGAATAATTCTGGTTTGCCCTGTCTGGTCTGGCAAATGTATCAGCCTGGAAATCTGTCCTCCAAAGCAGAAATGGAATGGACCTAACCTAGCTCACTCATCCGTGTTCATGAAAAAGTGAATAGTCCTCAGTCCCTCATTTGCCATGGAACTCATGAGATGAAGTGTTCCTTTTTCCACTGATCATCTAAGTGCTCTTCAACAAATCATTTTAGAAACTTAAATATTCCACAGCCTTCAACTGCATTTATTTTCTGTTTCCCTAGAGATAATAGAATACTTCAGAGTTGCCAGATGCTATTGACTTAAGTCACAGTAATCATAGCAAGCTGTTGAGGAGAGACAGACAATATTTTTGTTAGCAGCAAATGATTAAATGTGACTATTCTCTTAATCAAACCGCTCAACAACTATGTTTAATAAATAACACAGACCTTAGGATATGAGATTTTAATGGTCTTTGGATATTGCAGTGTATCTTCTGAATAAAATGAATACTCAATAACAGGAACGTCCGTGTCATTAATCTCTGCATACGCCAAAAAACTGCCATTTGGAGACCACCACAGAGCAGAATGGGTGCCAAACATTTCCTCTGAAAGAGATGCAAATGTATTCTTTTGGCTTTTTCCTCTGATACATTGTTCGTATTCACTTGTATATAATTTCAGATGGAACTTCAGCTACTAAAATTCAGATTACTTGCAATGTTTTGCAACCAAAACAATAAGTCAACTCTCAAAAATGCCTTTTTATAGAAATACAGTGCTATGGAAATATTCTGTTACAAAAATCTGGCTTTAATAATGGATGCAAATTCTAGTATTCTGATTTATCTTAAATTTCAATATTATGGATAATTTTTTTTTTTGTTTAGGCTATAACATTCCAAATATATCATCTAAAACGAACAATAATAAAATGTAAAGAAACTAGCAATAATGTTAAATAAAAAGGAAAAGCCAGACGTTGCACATATCGGATTTAACTTATACAGCCAACACCATATTACATGGGCCAGCAAGAATGGTGTAATTTAAAAAGGAAGAGGGATGTATAAGAAGGGCCTGCTAAGTCCTTTACTTATCTTCCATGCTTCTTCCTTGATTGCATTCATTTCAAGGAACAGGTAAGGGGAAACTGCATGATGGAGAAGCATGCTGCAACACAAGCCATGGATCCTGGAAGATTCAACATTCTTTACCCCAAGGTTTCTCTTGTTATTTAAGTTGGATTTCATATACCTTGTGTTTGTTTGAAACCAAACTTCATTTAAAGACATATAACCACTTCCCTAGATATGTATTTCTTACTGCCCTGAGAAACAATTATGCAGTACAGCCAAACTTAGCATTCCTCGGAAGAAAATATACAAGTACAAATTAAACATTCACTGAATATTTTATGTCTAAAAAGGCACCTTAATAAGTACAATTACTATGGGCTGTATTACTTGAGGTGGTAATAAAAATGTAAATGTTGAAGACTTCCCACTTTCCTTTATGAAGGGAAGTATGTCTATATAGCAATTTTCCATCATCAGTCATTCCTAAAAACTCCATTAATAGAAACTGTAGAGTGAGGAACCACTGTGTGCATGAAGCTTACTTAATGAGTCAAAAGCAATGGTTGACAATCCATACCTAGATATAATAAAATATATGGATCCATTTCAAATCATAGCTTGGAGGATCTTCAGTTAACTGGATATGCATATTTCATTTCCTCCTCTTTATGTGTGTATTTTAAATTAATAAGGTAAGGTAAATAAGAAGCTTTTACTTATCATTTGCCTTAGATTAGCTTGTTGTTTCACCCAAACCTAAACTATATTGTGCAATTAAGCCAAGATCATCTGGTCCCCTGTTACCTCATTACAGTGCAAATGCTAATGTGACAGTTGAAAAATGATTCCCTTTAAAATAATTAAAGGACATGTGACCTGGTATATTCTAGTACTGGAACACTGTCACAGTTCCAATATACAATAAATATAAAACAACTACCAATGATTCCTCCATTAATTTTTGAATATTACAAATAAATTTTATTCAAGGAACCTTTTAGGAGTCAACATTTAGCAAAGGAATACTCAATTATTCTGCAAATATCCTTTGGGTAATCTTTGTGATTTAAAATCAGCTTTTGATTCGATCCCTAGAGGCAGACTGTGGAAGAGTCTGGTAAAACCTTCTATCAATCTACAGCTGTTGCTGTTAAGATATAATGTGAAAATACTTAAATGCAGCTTAGACAGGGTATCTAGTCAGATCTTAATTCAGTGGGGATTAAGCAAAGCTATACACTGCCTCTCCTTCTGTTTAACTTCTACAAAAATATAATAAACTATCTAATCATAAAAAATTTAAAAAAAAAGAACTGGTAAGGCAACAATCTTGGTCCTGTATATGGGTGATGCAGCAATTCTCTCAGCAAATCTAGTAGGCCTAAGAAGACTGATTCAAGTTCCTGCCACTTTCTATGATAGGACACCTGATAGGAAGTCATCAGAAAAAACCAAAATGATGTGTTTTACCAAGAGACCTTGAGGAATAAACAGAGATGTGTAATAAATGGAATACAACACTGAGCAGTTTAAATCCTTTAAATAAGAATGATGTTTCATTTTCTGATTCTTGGACCAGACAAGTTATATATGCCAACAGTTGCACTATGTGAACCTCTTGAACTTCCTATCTATTGGAGATACCCTCAAAGTATTCAGACCCAAGGTAATTTGCAATTCTTAAAATTCTTAAAATTTTAGCCCCAGACAAATTGTCCACTCTGAATTTATAAAAGCAACTTTTAGGATGCCACACTGTGTTTCAGATACCTTCCTGCTTAGTAAATCTGCGATGTCCATTGAGACCAGAAGCAGCTATTGTATATTGTTTAATTTTAGTAGCTTAAATTAACATTTTTTAAAAATATATATTTTGCATTTTTAATCCTTCAGGACGTAATTTTAATTCATTTTTAATGGTACTCTAGCTCTGTCCATTCCACATGAAGTCAAGGACAGAGAAAATATGCACCTAGTTCTTCATATACCCTTCAACTGGGAGGATATATGCACAACTGGATGTTTTTTTCTCTGATCTTGACTTCATGGGGGATGGTCAGGGCTAGAGGACCATTAAAGAATGTACATCAGATTCTGATCTTTAGAAATGTAGAAAGGCAGTTCTCCTCTCTTTAGGAACAACATGGAAAAAAGCCTACTACTAACTAGGTATTTATTTAATCTTGTATATTCAGACGGAAGAAGAGCCTTCATCTGTATTCAGTGCTTTATCTTTGGTCCTACTGGTGGAGGTATTTCATAGTATCCCTATTTGATCCATATAAGCTAGAAGTAGAATCAGTCCTCATACACTATGATGTTCATTCTACAAGCTGTTTTGACCAATTTTTTTTTATTTTTTTATCTGCGCTCAGTCGTTACCGACTCTGCAGTGACT